CTCAACAGGAACTTCATCCATTTAGTCATGTCCTCTGATTAAGCCGCGTCAAGGCGTGTCAGCCTGATGGGGGAAGAAAGCCCCAAGTGACGCAGGTCCTGCGCGTTCATCATTTTGAAACCCACGAACGCAGGTACTAGTATCTGGTGTTTACACACCAGGGGCGAATCCAGGATTCACAACCACGAGATGCATCGCACAACATAGGTTTTGATACAGGTTATTGTGGTATTAATGCGTGTCTACACTCACTCATTTCCTATCTTGACCCATCCTCGCCATTAATAATGGTATTACATATGCTTACAGTCATCAAAGATCTAACTTTGCTCCAGACATTAGTTCAATTAGAGAATAACCTCTGAGCTACGAGGATAATTCGCAAATTCCAAACTCACTCACCTATCTCCAGTAGTAGTACCTATGCCCATATGTTCACTGGCCTACAAATATTGGCATATCGCACTGTGAGCCTGTGCCAGTTGAGTAATAGGTAGAATGTATAATCTATGTGTATTAATGTCTATCAGATACCTTCCATTACTTTCATCCAACATCATGGCCAGGAGGGTACTCGTGAAAGCATTGGTCACGGATCCAATTCCAAATAAAGTATCCTTGGTGACGTTCACTCCCTGTTCTATGTCCGCCTGTCCGAACCCCCGTGTCCACGTCTCACCCCCCTTCACAACAGCCAGGATATTTTACGCGCGTTTCCTAAGGTTCATGGAAAGTATGTTCGAAACATAAAAATGTTGATAAATGTTGTTTTAAGTTTCTTTTTTCGGTTTATAAGCATGGAAAAACACTTTCCCTCGGTTTTGGTAGACAGAGCATGCCCTGGGGGTCGGGAAAAACCGCGGGGGCTTCGCCCCCTTGGTTTTTCCCTCTCCCCAGGGCATGCTCTGTCTACCAAAACCTCGTGAGCGTGTTTTCTCCAATATATACAACATATCGTGTTTTTACAAAGACAGTTTTGATAAGAGATACGTTTCTTTCGCAGAATGATAGATCAGCTCGCAACCACACACGCTTAGACTCTTCTGTCAACACAATCTACTGTTCAGAGATATCAAGTATGTTGACCTTTGATAACATGTACAAACAGAAAAGTCAGGTGAGGGAAGGTTGTGCAATATGGACGTTGGTCAGCACTTTAAATAGGGGGATGGAAAAATAAAATTTGTTCCCTGGCTTTTAAAAAAATGTTCGTTGGACATGCTGAAAGTCCTGTAAAAAGTTACATTGTTCTGTTCCTCCTTTCACTACAAATAATTACTTCCTTTGTAGGAGTGACCGAAAGTATACCCTGCCTTTAACAAAAATCCCAGCCCCAAACCCCACCCCAAAATATTCAACAGGTGGCCATGGGTCCCTCATTGTAACAATGGTGACTCATCCACTACCGTGGTTGGGATGGAATGTTCAGTTCTATTTCAGCAAGTATGTTATTAATGACATCAGTCGGAGAAATGCTCATGATGTTTATTGTATATTACTATTAAAAAATACCAGTACCACTCAATATTTGATTTTAAATATATTAATGATACTTCAAAAGGTATAAATTGTGAGAAACAAGGCATGCATGTACTACAATTTATTGGATCCCTCATATTGTTGAATTCTCATGGACATGTTTGCTTGAATACATCTTGGTATCGTATTTGACGCTGCCATCTCGATATGCCAGGTTCATACTCCATGTAAAACTCGAGTGAGTGAGTTAGGGTTAACGCGGCCACTTTGAACAGTATATCTGCCATATCAGTGAGTCCAAATTGATGTTCGATGGAAGCCCAAAGTGATGCAGGTCATGGAGAACCCCATCAGCAGTCAAGCACGGACATGGTGCAGGCACATTAGGGCGCACAACCCACAATCATCATTTGATTACGCCGTGACTGATATTCAGGACTCGGGTGTTCGTAAAAGGCGCATGGTTAATTCATATTACGAAACTAAAACATAAATCTTCTTAATCGAGATCCCAAGTGCAGGGTACGTACAAGTTCAAGCGTCTCATACATTTTAACTGAAAGTTTGTGTAAAGGTAAAAAAGTTCAACATTCTCAAGTTGTCACGTACTGCACTTTTTCATGCCCTTGAAACTCTTTAACAAATATGAGCTCGTTGCAATAAATCACCTCATATTTTGCAATTGAGAGTTTTAGCTTCTTAGGCTCCTCATTCTATATATTTAGTCGTCAAAATATCGAAGCATTTCTTAACTTGTAAGTTACAGGTGTTAGATGACTTACTCATTTGATGTAGATGTTATTGTATAGGTCTACAGTTTTCCTAGATCTGTAAACAGGTCCAAGTGGTTGATACGCCTGTCAGATGGGGATGCAGGGGTTACAATGACTACTAACTGTGAATAGCACATGGATGTGTTATTATTATACAACAATCACATTCCCCCACTATAGCATACTGATCCGTGAAAAGCCGGGATAGAATATGTCTTCAGCAACCTATGCTTGCCGTAAAAGGGATCGGGTGGTCAGGCTCGCTGACTTGGTTGATGCATGTCATCCTATCCGAATTGTGTGGATCGATGCTCATGATGTCAATCATATGTTTGTCGGGTCCAGACTCGATTATTTACAGACTTCAGTCATATACATATAGCTGGGAAAAAGGCTGAGTGCGGCGTTAAACAACAAACAAACAAACTATAGCAAACTGATGGCGTTTGTTGGGTGTTATTTATGCTATTATTCTGCTCGCAGGCGTTTCCCGTTTCTTAAAGCAGTTCACCATTTCGAGTACAAGACCAATACGACTGTATTACTTACTGGACTATTTATGTTTTCATAATTGCTGGAATATTGCTGAACGAAGCATTAAACAACAAAGACACGCATGGTCCCGTGGGGACGCAGTCCATACTTCTCTTAGTCATCCTCCAGATGCCTGATGATCGTAGTTCAATGGTTCAGGAAAACTATCTAAAGCCCCGCGCGCATGTCCTTCCTCCGCCGTATACAAGGTCCCTTTTGGTCACTGCTTGCAAAAAGCAATGAACGTCTCCCAATCTCGTTATTTATCTGTGTCTACCTAATTATTAAAATACTATGCCATGTTACAAAATAATTATTCCATTAACTGCACATTTCTAAAGGACATGTGAAATAAGCCAACATAGTCAGAAGACATATCTTCCGTCATCTTCCCGTGGCAAGAGAGTTAACTGACTTTAAAAGTCCAGTTTCCACCCTTGCCGAACTAGGCTGGTATTATGGAGTTACATTGTGGCTGGACTAACGAGTCTATGCATAGTCCAATCAAAATCGCGCTCCGAAATCGAAATCCGGTTGGTAAACTGTCATGCAGATTTCGGTCGATTGGAGGATTTGCAAAGCATGTTCACCGCTAACTCGTTGTCAACAGATATTTTCTAAATCTTAATCAAGGTGCTCGCGTGATTTGATGCACTCCGTGATGAAAGACTCGTTTTATCACAATATAGATCTTGATTATCGATCAGATCGTCTTGACGGGGCGCCACCGTTTTGTTTGAAGCAAATGATACGAAAGTGATACGAGAGGTGGAATCTGATTGGTCCATAGGAGAGGCATATAACTCGTATAGCCACTGATGGCGCCACGATCGAGCCCAGGAATTCCAGCCTAGTTCGGCAAGGGTGGAATCTGGACTTTTAAAGTCAGTTAATTCTCTTGCCTCAGGAACATGATCTTCCGTGTCCACGATTCATCTACCGGAGTCGGAAAGTCCAAATCATCAATTACCACTCCGAAACACACCGGAATTTGGACCTTGCTCAAGGGATCTTTCTTCAAGATGAGCATTTTTCATATATTTGTCTCTGTTGTGCATATTCCGATCATGTTACTTGATACTTGATAAGTGCAAAGTCAATATTGAGAAGCTATTAAGCATCCGTTGTGTATTTCAGACGTAACACTGTAACATTGTAACAATTAGCTTTTAAAATTCAATAAATTTTTATTCAATTAATATTCAAATTTATCATCTTATCGATTCTGTTAACGATGTAATAAAAGAATACAATTATTTACTATCACGATCCGATAAATATGCAAATGAGGTCAGGAACTGCTTTTAGGCCCATACGGAGATGTAATGTCAGCTTGACCAATACCTTCAGTTCCCAATGTATTCAGACATGAGATTTTCGATGTGTGCTTGTTTCTGCAGGGAACCATGGCTGCAAATCCAATCCACTGTTTCAGGTGCGGTTCACTCACTGTACGCAGTTTCTAAAGTAACTTTCTTCAGTAAGAATGCGTCTTAAACATCGATTATTATAAGAATGGCATTAACCTCATGTCTTTCTGCATCATAAATATCATATATTAGGAAAAAGAAAAAAATACTTATTCTCATCAAAGGCGCGCATAATGCAATTATCATACATAAGGCATAAACGATACAGAAATACACTTGTCTAATAATCTTTACGTAAGAATTATGGTGGATGCATTGAAATTACTGGTACTGCCTGAGTCTGTGCTTGTCCGCCCCCGATATTAAATGTCTGCATTTTTTGCTATTATGTTATATTGAATATAACTACCTGGTACGGTTTGTTATGAATTGTTTAACGCTGCACTCATCAGTATTCCAGCCATATATATGGAGCCTGAAAATAATCGTGTCTGGCCCAGACAAACCAGGTGTTGGTCTTATTCATTTACTGATTTTGTTACACCTAAAAACGACATGTTAATTTATTACGTTTGCTATGTACAGATATTCTGCTGCTTTTGAGTAAGGAGAAAGTTTAATAAATGTATTAATTTTGCAAAGAGGGAGAGTGTGGGAGACAGGTTTCTTTTGTATTTGGCTCAGCATTAATAATAGCCGCTACTGAGCTTATGATGAAAGATCGATGGTTTTGACGTCCGGTATAATCGGGGTTCACATTGTTAAACTGCACAATATGCCACAATCAATATATGGCCTGTACCATCTGAGTCGAAATATTTATCAGAGAGAACATCAAACCCAGTAACAGTTCATATCTCTGTTTATTGAAAAAATCATTATATATTTAACATATGTGTACATTTATTGAATGTTGCTTCTTTCAGATACCTAGAGAGCCCATGGTGGTTCCAAGGCCATCAGCAACCTATGCTTGTCGGATGAGGCGACTTAATGGATCGAGTGGTCAGACTCGGGAGGCGAAGTTGACTGCCTGCCATCATACCACGACTGCGTGCCATCATACCACGACTGCGTGCCATCATACCACGACTGCATGCCATCATACCACGACTGCGTGCCATCATACCACGACTGCATGCCATCATACCACGACTGCGTGCCATCATACCAAGACTGCGTGCCATCAGACCACGACTGCATGCCATCATACCACGACTGCATATCATCATACCACGACTGTGTGCAATCATACCACGACTGCATGCCAATATACCATGACTGTGTGCCATCATACCACGACTGCGTGCCATCATACCACGACTGCGTGCCATCAGACCATGACTGCGTATCATCATACCACGACTGCATGCCATCATACCATAACTGCGTGCCATCATACCACGACGGCATAGATCGTTCACCATATCAATCCCAGATTACTTATAGACTGCCGTAACATAACTTGACTATTGATCGGTGCGGCGTTAACGAATTAAGAAGAAACGAATAATCTACGAAAGTCTCCTCGGGATTATATACCGGCTCAAAGACAATTAACTACATTATTAGTATCTAGTCTTCAATTCACTTTGTCACTTCAGTTGCAGTTCATTGAGTTACAACATACCTAAAACAATATCGTAGCCGACTGCTTGTATGTGATGGGTATCCCAAATTAGAACAGAATTCTCCACAGGGCCTTGACAAGTTATACAAACTACCCGAGTTACAAATGGGTACTGATATTTATACCACGGAGTTCTATTTTGAAATAAAAGGCCAAATATGTTCTGTTGAACACAGGGTAAACAAGATGGTAAGCAGATCTGATGAACATTAATCAACATTTCAACCACACAATTAACCAGTTTAATCTTTTTTAACAAATGGTGCCTAAATAGTGGCCACAATAACAATCATCTTGTAAAGTAGAAACAATATATTACATCTCATTATTTGTTATTTTCTTGAATCCAATTATTGATCCCACCCCACACTAAAAATGTAACATTTTAAAAAACAAATCTCTATTTACTTTATACAAAGCATACGTTAAATGTATCTTTTATCTTTTCATCAGCATTTGGCCAGATATGAATACAATGGATAAAACTATGTATCGGAAGGAGTCACAAATATTTTTAGTGAAATATCCTATTGTCATAAGATGCTCCAGGTCAAACTTTTAAGATTATACAGTCCCTACCACATAAACAAGCTTAAGACTACACTTAGTGCTGCAAACACCATCGAAAGATTGCTAAACTCCTTTACGGTCTGCCCATTTGTTTCAGTGTTGGTACTTGTGTATATGTTTTTATCATAAAACCCGATACCTCTTTTAAATGTCAACTTGTGGGGGAAAATGAGGTCAATTTGTGAATACTTTCCTTTGTTTATCCCATGGAAGTTTACTGGAACCAGAACCGTAGCATTACCTGGCCGAGAAAACAACCTAAAGGAGCCCCATGCTTCCAATTTGAATGTACTTTTATCCACTGTGGTATTGAGAGAACCCGATAACCTGTTGTAGTGAAGTTCCAATGACGACCCTGGTCCCCTTCTGACATCAAGGTCACCAAACAGATAATGCCCGTATTTGCCAACATAACAATCAAGGCATTCCACTTCAGCGTTCGTGACGTCGGAATTATTTTGACCACTTGGCGGCATCTTTTCCCATGGCAAAGGGAATGTGCAAGCCGTGGATGAATTTAGCCAAGTTTGATCACCGATCAAAATATCAGAAATATAGAATGAGATAATTGTTTCTGTAATTCCCTCGTCCGTTGTCCCCGGTCCATTGGCACTTACAAAAATTCCAAAGTCCATGTCGGGGTAAAGTCCTAGCCAGGTTATGTAAGAAAACAAGCCCCCTGTGTGCCTGACTTGTTTATATCCTGGAAAAAAACATAGAATATTAAATACATTAACAATTGATATCTAAACACCTTACTTACATTTGTCATGATTGTGACATTGTGCGCTGGTAAAGTTGGACAAAATTGCAGTGAAAGTTATATGAATGGATCACTGAACATCAGTGATGACACCAGGTGTTCGCGAAAGACAGTAGTATGTTAAACTCAAGGGTCTGAAAATGAATTGGACTAAATGATGTTAGTCATTCTAGATACCTCAAGTGTATATAATATAATAATAGGATATTCAATACCATGATGATACTCTACAGTGATACAAGAACATGTGAAAGAGGAGCATAAAATACACTGACGAGCAAAAAAACGAAACCCAACCAATGCCTGTATTAATTTGGTCGTGTTGTAATATGACGATCAAGGTGGTGTTAAATTGGCGACATGTCAGGAGAGCGAGCTGTCCAAAGCAAATCGTTGACGTTATTCACTTGCTGTCATGAGAGACATGACTCTCTGCCAGTTCCTGTTCTATTATCATTGTGTAGTGTGCACCAACCTGAGTGTTTAGCGTCGATGTTGGCGTGTCCATATGATACCCCCGTAAAAGGTCAAAAGGCCCAAATACAATGGTGACGCAGTCGTTTGGATACAGTGGCTTTAGAATCTTGTGGCGTCACAGTCAAGAATCGGATCCTTACATCCGCAAATAATGATCTTATCTTGTGTGACTCGTGCCTGTCCTCAGTCACTCCACTGTCTGTCGGTGACAACGTGAGTGTTGCACGAGTGCAACCAAAGTGTCTAGCTACGGTTTACTTTGGTGAACTAAATCAAGAGTTTACAGTTTCACGCGTGTACATTTCTACGTTTGGGTTTCATGATTTGAGAACATCATTTAGTCTTCGAATCTAGATGCTGATAAGTTTGGTAGGTAAAAGGTCGACTTGCAATGGGATGCCCTCAGATGCTTGTTTAGCGGAATCGAGAACTATGATCTGCTATTCATGAAATTGACATTTTCATTACATTATAAATTATTATCATTGATAACAAAATAAGTTATTTACTAATATTCAAGAAGATGTGGTATCCTTAGCTTAAGTTTGTTCGCCACACCAGGCAGCCAGTACGATCACTTTTGCCAATGCTGTGTTAACAGCCAATTCCATGTCTCCCGCAGTTTTATGACTTGAAGATTGCTCATTGCAGCGTACAGCATATTTATTTATGAAAACATTAATTCTGGATTGTGTCTTACCCTTATAAGTCGACATGAACCATGCATAGCCATAGCCATACTGTAAGTCCACCACGGGAAACTTTGGCTTCGACAAGGATTGACTGATAGGAATACTCTCGTGAGATTTAAAGACCTCCGCGAGTGTTTTAGATTTGATCAGTGTGACGTTGTCTGCTGTCACCCCTTGCCTCAGCAGGAAGTGCATCCATTTAGCCATGTCCTCTGCTGATGACGCAATGGCACCTGCGGCCTCTCCTGGATGTATGCTGCGTAGAATCAAGATCAGCAGATAAAACAATGTGACTAAATCTTGATCTTCCATCGCCTGAAAGTGGTAAGAGAATAATAACGAGGATCGTTGTTCATGCTATCAACCACCGAATTGCCTCGCCTAGATTCTTCGATTATATACAGGTCGGCTAGAAATAGTAGGAATAATGATAAATGTGGCTTAAAACAACATTCACTCTCTCACTATACAGCATTTATTCAGGTATATGCTGATTTATAATTATGAATCATTGTTAACAATTGTGCTTAGGAGATATAATGTACGTTTCATTGTTGTTTTTGATAACTGGTTGATCGCAATGTGATAAATGTGAAAACGTAGATACATGAATAGCCCTACCGCCTGACAATCTTAATAATCTGTATAAGCTGAAAACGAGTGTTATTTGTGTCAATTGTTCAAAATAATTATTAAGCAAAAGTGATGTTTTATCTCACTCGTAAATGGAGGGGTCCGTTAATATGAGCTCGTTCTCCACGTCAAAGTAGGGTTTTGCCATAGCTGGTTCATTTACGCTTATCGTCTTTCCAAGGACACGTGACTGGTTCATCCCCAATGGCTTGAAGATTCGTTTCTCCAGAGTGGCTTCGTAAGATTCCCCTGACAACACTTCCACTATATGGCCGAGCAGAGCGTACCCCCAGTTGTTGTACTCGAAGACGTCACGGGATGGCTTAACTTCCGGAAGAAAGCGGAAACGCCTGCAAAAAAGAACAATAATAGCATAAACCACAGTAGTTCCTTCGTCACTTTGTCACAGTGTGAGATGTCAAGATCACAATGACAATTTGGTTTGACTGTATGTGTGGGCTGTGTGGTTTAACTGTAAGTGATCATGAGAGTTAGGTTATATTAGCTGATTGAAGTTAGTGTATTTGCTTGAATGCTTTGCTTGATGTGAACGTGCAACCATTTTGCAATTTTGGCAATCTTTATCCTAATTCTGGGCAGTCATTGAAGACTGTGTGTCTTGTTTGGGCCCTGGGGTTTGAGTGATGGCCGTCAGCTTAAGTGGTTGTACCGGAACCGACATGGGACTTATAACAGGGCTTGAGGATGTAGCTCGCAGAGAGAGAGAGAGAGAGAGAGAGAGAGAGAGAGACAGAGAGAGAGAGAGAGAGACAGAGAGAGAGACAGAGAGACAGAGAGAGACAGACAGAGAGAGAGACGGCTGTTCGACATGGAAATGGAATTGTAATGACCACAGAAAATTAGTGATGACACCAGGTGTCATGACGGTAAACAACTCCGCCGCCGAATTGGGGCGACTTCGATGACAAGGCAGAGTACCCTCTTATACAAAAATACATATTCTGGCATGTGACATTTTCCTGAAAAATAATGTTATATAATCAGATGTGAAAAAAGTGTACTTGGCAAAATCAGTTCTCGTCAAGTTGTGGTCCAGTCCAGCAAACAGGGGCAAGACCGCAGGCTGTAACCCTGTGCGGTGGGTCAAAAGATCCTTCAGAGTAGTCTCCCTTGTTCTCTCCTCGTCCACAAATGCAAAGTCTGGACCCAACACGTCCTTGACCTTTGACGTCCATGTTAAACTGTAACAGTAATAAACACGAATAACAACAACAATATACAAGGGAAACTAAGTATACTCACTCACACTTACCACATTTCGACTGTTCCTCACTGTATATAAATTAATAATGTAAACTGCAAAGATCCAAAGCAATGTATATTTTCATACGTGAGGGACAATACGTACAGGACTGAAATAAACATGAACATGTGACTGTACAGCTAAAAGCACAAAGCATTGGGAGCGATTCTGAAATATACCTGTACATAAATTGTAAAATAGTTTTGAATCTTTATTCGAGAAAATTAACGGTAAAGATCGTTGTTCATCAACATTAAATTTAATTTTAGGACTTTGTGGAGTCAAATGCTACATACAATTATTTGTTTATTGTTATTACAGAATACTCAATAACGCAATGATCTTATACCAAAAGCAATTTGATTTGAATATCCGGAAGTGAATACAACTCGACAGTCGTTCTGTGGTCATTCTTACACATTAGATACACTATCATACCATACACATTAGGAACCAAAACTAAAAGTTTCCAATGAAATTTTAAATGGCACAGAACGTTACGTGCCTAAAATATTTCCTGTAGGGCGTTAAATACTCACTCAGTCTAGTATCTGTTGAAGTGTTGATGATGCTAGAGTATACATATCATTACGTAAATATTGTTCAGTGGAACAACGTTAGAGTAGAGGAAACAAACACCCTTGATGAATAAGACCATGACCACCTATTTTGAATGAGAGTGACCTGGTTTTATATCCACTTTAAGACAATTATATACAAATGATTACTCTCGACAAGGACCCCAGGACCCTACCCCTTCGGCGGCCTGACCGGACAACCTCGGGGTCGGCTCCTAGGGTCCTTGATTTTACATATTGATCTCGACAAGAGTAATGATTCCTTACGTTAAACCGAATTTCACTTCAGTTTACAATTGATGAAGCTGTTAGACTGTCCCCTGTTTCGTTACAATAATTTTGCTGCGAACCGTGAAATGTTAGTATCAGACGCAATCTTGTTTTCTAACAGACGAGTCAGTATTCATCACTTGACAGGTCAATACTGATCATGTGACGAGTCCGTATTTAAGGTCAATGTCAGTCACGTGAATTTGGGGTCAACATTGAAACGTATTGTTTCGTCACATGGAACGGATTAAACCAATGGAATTGCAAAATTTCTCATTAAGAGATTAACCTCGCTGTGATCTACGAGGATTTTCACAATTGATAATCTACAATTCCAAACTAACTAACTTATGTCCAGGCAAGAGGTTATTGTATTCGTGCCTAGAAATTCACTCACCTAGAAATAGTGTCACAGAGTACTGTCGCTTGTTAAGTAATGGGTAGAATGTATCATGTATGTGTTTTTTATGTCTGACATACCTTCCATTACTTTCATCCAACATCATGGCCAGGAGGGTACTCGTGAAAGCTTTGGTCACAGATCCAATTCCAAACAAAGTATCCTTGGTAACGTTCACTCCTTGTTCTATGTCCGCCTGTCCGAACCCCCGTGTCCACGTCTCACCCCCCTTCACAACAGCCAGGGTCAGCCCGGGGACCTGTCTACAATGCATGACCTCTTCCACAAACATTGCCACCTTACTCGCCTGGTCATCGGAGAAAACCTCCGCCGACCCTATTGAGACAGAGAACATGAGCAGTAATACTACTATACACCACATCATGTATTTTGCAGAGTTATCAAGGTACTGAACGGCTTACGAGATTCTAGGCGTTGGCCTCAACGTAAAGTACGCCCGCCGAGAAAATATATATGAGGCGATATGGGTTGAGATTACAGATAAGCTGAGTTGCTTCGTTGTATGACAGGCAGATCTAAGTGCATCCGCAAACACTGAACGCGAGATACAGGGGCGAAGCACTCTCACCGACAGTCTCGTTGTGTTTTACTTCAGATAACAAGGAGATACATACCAGCATTACTTTGGTGATGGAAGGCGTGGGATGTTAAAGGGGTCAATCAATGACACAGTCGTGTTAATCTTAATGCCAGATGGGTTTGTTGGCCTGTGTTGGTTCATGGTAATTGTATGTTGTAACGAAGATAACTCACCTTGTACCCTGGTCCGGATATTCTTTCCCCGCAGACACGTGTGATTCTTAGGTAGCCAGGAGTATGTGATAAGAAAACTATATAAATTGTTATATTTTGAATGACATCTCTCGAAGAGAGCAATATTCATGATGTCCATCACACGTGATAGATGTTTAATGCGTATGATTCATGGACAAGTCAATATTTTAGGGTATGCTTGAGAGTATAATTCCACAAAACTATTGATCGATATATTATTGAGTCTATACTCATCTCTCTCTAATACACCGCTGTGCCATACTTGACGCATGATTGTACCTAAAATAACTGAAGTTTCCCTTTCTAAGTAGTACACGAGTGAAAATGTGAGTGAGGGAGTTAACGCGGCTGTTTGAACATTATTTCGGGTACATCACGAAGTGTAAACATAATGTTGGATAAAAGCTCCAAATGAACAGGTCCTTTATTGAAGGTCGCTTGTTGAAACCAACTAGCAAAGGTATGGTCCTGACAATTTAGGGCAAATCTGAAATTCGACCCCGGATTATGTCACAACTAAATTACACAACAGGTGCCTGTGATGACTGACACAGCCGCGTCACTAAAACATGAAACTAGAGCATTATTCAGCATTATCTTATATCTTTATGACATGGAAAATATGCAGTTGCCTGCCTTGCCTCTCACCTTCTCGTCTAAGGCTGTACATGTTGTGTTATTCCGAAACATTGCATGAGTGAATGTTGATCTCCGTTAGTCGCCTCTTATGACAAGCATAGTCGCCTTTGACGGCATGCATGGGTTGCTGAAGACCTATTCTACCCCGGATCACCACGTGTCTTATTTGAACCGATTTCATTTACTTTGTTAACTTATCATTTCTGAGGAATAGCAAAGAGTACTTTAAAATTACACTAAAACATAAATAATACACTGCATTCAGTTGTCTCACACAAGGAGTGAAATCGGTAATGTGTTAGCCTCCATCCTTGCGGGTAAAAGCAGCACAGCGTACACTCTCTCTCAGGGTAGATAAGTAAAACACGGGTAGTGGTCAAAGGGAAGCAACTCCTGTTCTCATTGCATTGTGTCATGTGCGGATGGGCTATAAATACCAACACTTGAAGCAGATGACATTTTAGAACCTTTTTTGTTCCATGCACACGTTACATCATGGCTCTCATTTCCTACTAAAAGTAAGTTTGTGGAATTAATCCGAATAAGGATTTGGGTAATATAAACTGTGTAATTAAATAGCTTAAACGAAATATGTTACATTGCTTATTCATATGAAGAACATCAATTAAGTCTAAGTTCGAGTATTTGGTGTAAAACTTATTTATTTTCGAAAGCAAATCCAAGAAAAAAAATAGCTTATTTAGCTGAGAACACAATACTTTATGACAGGAGTGGGGATTTCTACTTTCCAATAGTTAGCTTTCCCCTCATGTCGAGCAAAATTCCAGCAGTTCCAGTGTTTGGCGTCTACATTTTACTACTTTGAGTTACACATCGAGAATGTTCTTTCTCGAAGCCTTCAAAGAGCGTCATACGACTGTTTCTCAGAAGTTGTTGGATCAGGGTTACAACATACGGGGCCTTGGTGAAGCATTTTGAGAAGTGTTGCCTTAGAGACGTGGCTGCCTTCTCCAAGAGACCAAATGATGCAATTCCATATTTTGGCCTACATCTATACTACATATGTGACCTATGTCATCGGTGGGACAGGGTGCGCTTATCTTTCCGTGAAAACTGTTGGATAAATTAACGTCTTTAGCCTTCATTACTTCGGGCTTTCCCCCACACATTTAACTGACACGTCATCAAATGACAGACGTATTGCTCAAACCGACGTTAAACAAACCTTACACATTAGTGTCTTTTGCAACAACCCCCATGAAGATCAGGTTAGAACTGCTCTTCTGAAACGCATGTTTATCTTCAGAGGCGATGTCATGAGGAGCGTCACACGCCAGTTTTGTTCGATATACAAAATAAACCAATCCTGACCACCCTATCCTTCTTACTGGAGACATTTCCAAATGCCCACGGCACCATAGTGTGGTATTGGTAATGCCAGTAGGTCGGTAATTGTAGTGTAAAGCAGAAACACCAGTGACTGAACGTATGAGCAGCGATCGACACTGTCAGGTACGATAACATGCACCACAGATGTATCAGAGTCTGACCCGATGCCCCTTGCTCAGTTCGTACCACAACCATGGGATAGCTGGTATCTATTCTTCACCGGAAATATCCATATCCTGAATGTGTTGTTGGGAAGAAATACACCTGTGGACATTCGAGAAACGGCTAGGCCTTTAAAACCATCTGGATCTCAAATGTGGATCGGATGGTTATAATGTGTGACCAGCTGGTCGACTGTGTATCACTGATCGTATCCCGATTTTATAGCTCATGCTCTCAAACACTGGCTAGTCTGTTCAAAACGATTATTTACAGACCGCTCATACAACGGTAACATTTTTGCGGAGATCAACATTCACTCATACAATGTTTCGGAATTTTAATTCTTTGTCGTAAGATGCTAATTATGATTGCTCATGCTATCAAATACTGAATTGCCTCACCTAGACTCGATTAGACACAGGCCGCCATGCAATACTTGGAATTATGATGACTGTGGCTTAAAGCTACATTTACTATGCCCGATGGTCGCAGTTTTTCCAGATATATGCAGATTAATAATTATTTGTCATTGTTGTTTCATAACTGCTTAATCTTTAGTGCGAAAAGAACACACGTTTCTCGTCCAAGTAATAGGTTTTGAATAAAAAGCTCAAACGTAGATACGTGAATAATCTTTATAAGCTGAAAACGCACTGTGTGTATGTCTCAAATGCACAAAGTAATTATCAAACGAAAGGGATTAAATGTTTATTCTTACTCGTTAATTGAGGGATCCGTTAATGTCAGCTTGTTCTCCACGTTTAAGTACGGTTTTGCCATTCCTGGTGCATTTGTGGTTATCGTCTTTCCCAGGACACGTGATTCGTTCATCCCCAGTGTCTTGAAGATCCGTTTCTCCAGAGTGGCTTCGTAGGATTCCCCTAGTGACAACACTTCCACAACATGGCCGAGCAGCGCGGACGCTCAGTTATTGTACTCGTAGGCGTCCCGTGATGGTACGAACTGCTTGAAGGAAGCGGAAACGCCTGCGAAAAGAATAATAATATCACACACAGTAGTTTAACCATATTTGTTTTTGTGTTACAGTGGAGGATTGTAATAGGTATAAAATGAGCAAATTGATACCCTTGGCCCAGTCATAATGCGTAAACAAGGTCCCGAGGACTGCGGCCTTGGTCCGGTCCAACCACTTCAGGGGTCCTTGGTTGCCACATAATGACCTCGCTTTTCAGCTCACTTCTCCATTGCTCGGCTAGCACTGAAATGTATTTTTTCGTCACGTGATACAGATTAAACCAATGAAATTCAAATACTTTTAATGAAGTTATAATACCAGTGATGTATGTAAAGTTTTGAACAGTAAAACATATTGAGTAATCTTAATGCTGGAGGAAGGCTTAATTTCACGCAGTTCGTAGACACAACTGCAGGTGACGTCCATAAATTCAGGGTTACGGCATACAAGGGTCAAATTCAAGGTCACTATATGTTTAAAGGAGTTAGTGACAATTAATACATCTAGACTGGTTGTATGTTAATGTAGCTGAAACACGCTCACTCGCTAAATCGTAGTGTTCATGACAGCATATACCTATGTATCATCTACACTACTGCCTAAAAGTTCATTCCCCCTAACACGCGTTGAGAACGCGTGTAACACGCATATGACACTGGTGTGCAACGGGTGTGCAGCGCGTGTGCAACCCGTTGAGCACGCGTGAGTCACTCGTTGCACACGCGTGTGCCATGCGTGTAACACGGGACCGGGTTTCAGTTGAAGTTGGAAAATATATTAAAAGAATAGTGAGATAAATCAAAACAGTGAGATGTGAATCTTGAGCTAACGAGCCGCCATTGACCTGTGTTCACCAGACCATGAACACAAGGTCGGCCCGTATTAATTAGTGTTCCGTTGTTGGACTTTTATGGCATGAACCATTCCAGAAGGGTCCAGTCTAGCCATTGTGGCTACCCGACAGTAGAACAGCAGTGAGTTTAGAAGCGAGTTTATTGCTAGGGGAATCCCCGAGTTGACACGATTGTCGCGGGTTGGTAAATGCTCGCCATTAGTGAAGTGATTGTTTGTGGATTGCGGACATATTCATTTTAAGTTTTGCCCACGTTAGTCATTGAGGGTGACTATGAATATAATGTTTTTCGTTCGCCAAATTCATGCTTCAGATAGTACAATTATGATAGAACAGTCATCACTACTTATGTCTTATTATTTCACGTAGGAATATGTCCCATTTTCCCACACCCCACTTTCTGTTTGGTATTTTGTAAGAATTATTAAGAGAATGTTTATTGTGGGACTTAACATTTATCACTAATTCTAAGAGGATATTGGAAATGATTATGAACAGCCATGTTGTCTCACTGTTGACAGAATTTTAGATCTTCACAATGACCGGGTGTGACCATGTAGACAGAATCTCGTTAAGGTTTGTGATTTTTACATTTACCCAATGACCATGGTGAGGATTGTTGGGGATACCAAAGGTGGCAGTTTACTATTAGAGGAACTTGGTTGTGAGTACTTATACCATTTGGATAGGATATCTTTAGGATTTTAATCCTTTCTTTCTCTGTGGGTAATCCTTTCACGTTGATAAAAGG